TGTTGCAGAGCAGAAATAGTTCCTACTTCATTTACAAACTCACGGATCCCTTGCCTTGATTTAGATGAAAGTTGTTTAACTGCTATTGCAGTTCCATTCAGAAGTACACCCTGCAGTCATGCAACAATTTATTGGATTAAAAGCAACATGGATGTAAAACTGTTTATGGTAGCCTAGGATGTTAATACGGTTGAGTTCACCCATGTGGATAGAGGTAGCCACCATTGTTGAAATTGGTTGGCATGAATGCAGAGTAGCCACCAAGTGTTGACAATGGTGGGAGAGAAGCTAAGGAGACAAGTTGCACGTAGGGAGGTGGCAAGTTAATGCTTTCATATGGGAGTGGGATGGACTGTGGTCTCCAACTCGCTCTATATATTGAGTTAGTTTGCAAGAGGCAAGAACAATACACAAGTGAGTCAGTAGCAAGAACACACGAGTGTGTATCTCTGTGAAGGTGAGAAAAGAGCTGACAGTGTAAGACAATAGAGAGTGTGTGTTGAGTGAGAGTCCACTCCTCTGCTTAATCTCTATTTTTTCAAGTGGAAGTCTCTTGTTCTCTCCATGGATGTAGGCATTGAGGCCGAACCACGTAAATCTTGTGTCATTATTGTGTGTTTTATGTTTGGTAGTTCAGGTGGGTTGGCCTTAAAACCCAACAAATACAACATGACAAATATATTGATAATTGCAAATATGGGTGCAGGATACTCGGTTGACATGGTTGTTCCTAGAAATTCCTTCTAAACCGATGTATAGGTACAAACACCCAGTGGCAGGTCTGTTTGGTTTGTATCAGTTGTAAGTTTTGGTTTGGATCGGAACTTAGGAAGCATAAATACGGATACGAGATACGGATACGACACGATATGGATACGGCGATACGACAAAACCTAAAAAAAATAGGATACCGGTACGGCTAGGATATGTTTGTGAAAAATATATTTTTTAAAATTATTAATAGTGAGTTACACATAAGCTAAAGAATGTTGAGAAACCACAATGTAATTTTATAATGCAAAATACTAATCTTTAAGAATTTTGTATTAATTTAAGCTAGTAGCTTGTTTACTTTTTAAATTTTTAATAGGTCTTGCAAATATTTTATTTCAATTTCAAGTTTAATATATTTATATTACAATAATAGAACAATTCACAACTTGTCCCTATACTTTTTCCTTTGACACTAGTGAAAAATATTGTATTCAAGTTTACTTGCTTATTTATTTATTAATATTTAATTTTACCATTGTTATATTATCTTGCTAATTCTTACTTTTTATGTAGTTATGGGACATGCATGAAATAATTAGGATACATCAATTTGATAAATTCTATTATTTAACTCACTATGCTCTTCTTATCGAAGAACTTAACAAAGTATTAGAAAAATATTCTTATATTTATACTTGTAATTATATTATATTATATTACTATGCAAGAAATATTACAATTCTAATTTCATAAAACAAGTAAACACGACTTGAAGTATCCGATACATCAAAATTAAGTATCCGATACTCCAAAATTAATGAAAAAATAATTAAGAAGTATCCGATACTTTTAATAAGTATCCAATACGTATCCGCGAGTATCCAAGGAGTATCGGTATCCGATACAGATACGATACGGATACGTCATCCTATTTGAAGTATCCGTGCTTCATAGATCGGAACAGAGTTTTTACCAAATAAAACTTGGGTTATTCATTAACAAATGTGAAAATTCTTGTTATAAAGTAAAATCTAACAAAAGCCTCAATATAAAATATATAAAAATAAATAATAAATAATAAATAAATAAATAAAAACTATGTGATGGAGAAACGATAAACATTCCCACTCTGATACATAATATAATAGATGAATAGCTGAATCAGAGACCTGAATGTCAATTGCAGATATTACAGTCAGTGTCAATTTGGTTTAGAATTTTATCAAACACTTGGCTTGTTACATTAAACAGTGTGCATCTGCACCTAGTAGTGTGAAAGAACAGATTAGATGATGCAAGCGTACCAGCAAAATATTGTCAATATAATTATTTAACTACAACCATTCGGTAAGAAACCATGATAATTTCAAGTCAATGCACAAAAACATGTAGCGAAGAAAAATAATGACATCATTTAGGTGATAAATTGTGCTCGCTTGTGCATAGGAGAGCATGCAAATTTTACTAAATTTATACTTCAAAGGATCAGAAGCAAGTGTGCCCTATAAGAAACTAATATGAAATACAATAAACCTTTCATAGATTTTTCTGCAAAAAGAAAAGAGGGAATATAAAAGATTTAGAGGGACACATATCAGATTTTAAAGGGGGGATTTTAATTTTTCTTTTATAAAAACAGCTAGAATTAAAATTTTAAATAGTTGAGAAGGGCAGCTGCCTCTTGTGGCCACTGCATAACCCTATTACTTGGTTGTAGACACTTCTTCATCAATGATCCCAACCAAAGTTCAACTAACATGATCTATGTTATCTGGAACATCGATCGTTTCTGTACACGAAATGGGATTGGGAACATTATATTCTCTTAAATATGGTACGATAAAGGTATACTTGTTTAGATTACACTCTTAGGATTTAAGGTATAGTAATTTTCTTTTAAAAATTAGACATCCAATAACATGTTGCTTTTCTTTTGAAATTATATGAGTATTATGATCCATTTTTTTTCGTTTTGTCATACCAAAACCACTTTTCTTCCATTTTAGTTTATTATATTTGATTTGTTTTTCCTTGTAAGGTAATTTTTAAGGTTTAAAATGGAAAATACTTTTGGCATGGCTTTGGATTGCCAAATTCAATGTTTTGGAATGAAAGTTTACCACATTTTCGAGCGTTCGTTTCAAAATGTCAATCGCTCAAGTATTAATATTTTCTAGTAACACAGATCTAGAGTAATTAGAAAGCTAAAAAGTTCTAGGATATAGTAAAAAAAAAAAAAATTTTAAATTTGAACCTTGTAGACAGCTCCGAAACCCCCTTCACCTAGCCTCATTGCAGGGCTGAAATTTTGTGTGGCAGCTTTTATTTGTCGAGCATTGAAAAACGAGCCAGATAATAACTCCATGCCTTTCAGTTCTGTTTAGATACATTAAAAGTCGCCGCAGGGGAGGGGGGGGACGAAAGAACAAGAAAATCAGTACAATGATCATTACCGACATGCAAACTGATGTCAAGGTTATAGTTATGGAGCTCATGGAAACTGAAGTTCATTATCATTTGTCATTCTTACCTTCATCATGCAGTCCTTTCTTCCGAAAGCAGCCCAATTTCCAGAGGGATAGTAAAGCTAATGCAAGGATAAGTAGTGCAGATGCTACAATCCCAGCAATTACTAGAGGAGGGAGTTTATATTTTACACGATGTACAGAAATACCAGATATCAAAGGACCATATTGTGGAAATCGGTAACCCGTAGAGCCTTTGCCAGCCCAATATAAGTGAATCTCTAGTCGGCTGTTATCCACATGAACTTTAAACTCATGAGTGATACTCTTGTCAACACCGTTAGCCTGTTCTACTATATTGAAATTTGTTTTTACCTGTTTGTCCTGCACGCAGTAATCAACTTTCAATATTATATTTAAGTTAAAACCTAAGAAGCACATACACTTTTAAGGTCACGTGTCGTGTCCAATACTGTATCAGACATCGATACAACACGACACGACATTCATTGGACACTTTCCAACACTTAAATACACGTGAAACACATTAGAAATTTGAATATAATTACTTGGAATTAGGGACGGAACTATGTGTTGTTGAGTGGGTTGAACCCACTCAACTTTGAAATATGTTGAGGATTATATAGTGTTATGTAAAGTTTTGGAGAGGTTTTCATAAATTGACAATACTAAAATTATTACAGAATTAAATATAATGCTGTTACTTTTTTAAAACAAAAATGATTTGTAAATAATTTTTTTTTTTTACAAAAAATATATTTAGAATGACATGTCAATCGTATTTTCTAAAATATGAGGGCAATGGTGAGTCTTTTGATTAAAAATGAAAAGACAACAAGAAGCGTATAAAAATTATGTTTTTATATAATAGTACTAGTTTTTCTTTCTTCCAAAAAAGTGATCATTCTCTTCAATCATGAGAATACTTAAAGTGTTTACAAGTTGTTTTTCTTTTCCTCATGTGATGACTCATTTTGCCTTTTTTCTCACTCTCTCTGCTCAATTGATTATAAATCGTAGTGTTGCTCTCATTAGTTTCATTGAATCAATAGTATATTAATGTTCCTACATTTTGTTGTACAAGTAATTTAATAAGTTTGAATTATTTTTGTAATGTTATTATTAAAAATATATTTTATTGCAATGTATAATTGTATATTATATGAAAGTTTATTTTGAAAACATTTGTAGAACGGCTTCTCTCAAGTTATCATCTCAACTTGAGAGAGTATTTGCACTTTTAAAACCGATTTCGGTGATTTGAACCATTCATTTTTTAAGACTCATTGAGTAGAATATTCATATAAAAAAACTAGAAGATTGGATATCGATAATTATATGTTTGAATTATATTTGTTTTACAAAATTTGACAATAAATATAATTTCAAGAATAACCATCCATTTTTTGTAATACAAATTTGATCTAAACATATAGCTACCGATGTCCGACTATCTTGATTTTTTGCATGAATATATTCTACTCAACGAGTCCCACAAAGTGAATAGTTTGGATGATCAAAATTGGTCCCAAAATGGGCCTACCAAGCCCAAACGCTCTTTCAAGTTAAAATGATCAACTTGAGAGAAGCCAAATCCACTAGGAGTATGAAATAATGATATTGATGATAGCTAACTGAATGACCCAATTAAATCAAATTTTTGACTATGCCACTGCTTGGATCCAATGCTAAAACAGAAACTATGTAAATAAATATCTATTATCATGTTTTGAACTTTAGAAATTATTATATTTAACTTAAATATTCATAAACAAAACACACAATAATTATACATAATAATTATTCCTTATATAATATAAAAAAGAAATTTGAACCTCCAAGAGTTTCGTTATCAGCTTCATATTCAGTTCCATTGATTGATGCTACTCCACCGCCACAATTTATGTACAGGTGATCATCTACAACAGATTTCACAGATATCAACTACCTTTTCAATGCAATTTCGTTTGTTTGTTCTCTAAAAATAAAAAGAAATGAAACATATCTCAGCATTTAATAAAAGAGAACACACATATATATCTAGCAGAAAATCTGTGGTAAAAACTTAATGATCTGACTATTGTAATCTTTATTTAATACAATTTTAAATAAAAAAATCAACAAAAATAATGATACAAGTCAAACTAAAAACTTCATTTTTTTATACATATCAACATATAAAGGTGTCAATGTGTGTTTTTCAAAATAAACTTCTATAAAAGTATAAGAACATGGATTATAATGAAGTAAACCAGTACTACACTTGAGCGATAATTTTGCTTTTGATCCATTTTTTAGAATTTTATCTTTAAATGATAGAATGTGTTGCCATTAATGTCGTTTTCGAAATATTAATAATATGCATTTTTAAATGCTATTAGTGCAAATTAATATTTGACTATCAAAAATGAAAAGGGCAAAATTCACTTTACTCCCTTGTGGTTTGGGCTCAGAGTAATTTACTACCCTATGGTTCAAATATAGGCAGACAGACCCCTTGTGATTTTGGATTAAAGTGCAACTGTTATACTTTCTGTCCAAATTAACAGAATGTGTAATACACATGCTATTTTTGAGAGTGAGCATAATTTTTCTTATAAATAAAGTGAATTAAAATAATTAAAAGACAAAACTAGCCCTATCTTCATCTTCTATCTTGATACCTTGAAAACCTTAACCCCACAAAACCTAATCCTAACCAAACCCACACTCCCTCCTCCAAGCCACCTATAGCCACCTCATCTACCACTCCCTCTACCCACCCCGACTACCACTGCAACTGTTTCTTTCCTTTCCAGCCCCATCACTGCCCCTATGTGAAGCTTTTCCAAACAATTTCACCAACCACTAAAGAAACCAACCTATTATCACCGGCATCACCTTCCACCACCACCAAGATATAAATACCCAACCTCATCAACTCCATCAAAGCGAATACATATGTACACAATTGCATATACATATGCATATATAGACAATTTGCTTTCTGAAAATTTTTGGGAGTAACACCAAAGCTAGAGACAAGACTCAACAATTGGGTGTATTTTCCATTGCAAATCAGTTGTAGCTCAATTTAAATTTGATCTATAAAATTTGATTTTGTTGATATGGACTGTTAATTTTCGGTGGAAAGAGATGGGTTTATGTATATTGGTAGTGGATATGTATATGAAATTGTGTTTGTATATGTATGCATCGCATGTTATGTGTGTGTTGTGTGTTTGGTTGGATATGATGTTAGATCTTGTTGATTCTGTAGTTTGAGACCTAACAGAAACTTTGGGATTTTGTTTCTTGATTGCGTTTTGGTCTTAGCTCTGTTTCAGTCATAGCCTTTCGTATTCATAAAAATCAATTCTGACCTTATTTTTTGTGAATGTCAATCTATGTATGAATCAAGTTTGTATTTGATCTACATCCAACATTAGATATTATATTTGTTAGGTGTTATATTTGTGTTTGTTATATTTGTTGGATGGGAACAAATGTTATACAGTGTATATATATGTTGGGTTGTAAATATATGCAGCTTGTGTGCATATATATCATACTAAAATTAGGTTACAAAATTCAGAGTTAAGATAATAATTAGGAATTCAGTATTAATTTGTGGTTTTGGTTTCAATTAATATTGATTTAAGCTAGAAATTACGTGTATAATAGATGAGAAAAGTTTGAGAAGAAAAAAAGCAGGGGTATTAAAGTTATTTCACATTTTTCATTGACGGTGTAATGCAGTTTGGTCCAAAAGCATGAGGGGTTTGTCTGCCTATATTTAAACTGTAGGGGGTAAACTGCTCCGAGCTCAAACCACAAGGGGGTAAATTGAATTTTTCCCAAACCAAAAAAATGGACTTTTGAAGAGAGGTCCCTCAATCTCTATCTTCTGATTGTTTTTTTTTTTTTTTTTGGTTGTTTTTTTCCATAAAGGACAAAGGTCAAAATATGAGAAAAATACACTCAAGTGAAATTTTACTATCCTCTCCCCCCACCAATGCCAACTGATACTAACCACCACCTCCAACGGCCATCTTTGGCCTATGGTGACCATTTTGTAGTGATAGTTTTTCTACCATCGGGCTTCGGCAACTTTCTGACGATAATCTCATGCGACCATTTTCTGACAACTTTTCCCTCCCTCTGGATAGGGCTGTGCAAAATACCGCCTAATTCACACCTATTTGCCTGCTAATCACGAGATATTTTTATCTACGGTTTGAAATTTATAATCTGCATTCGAAATTGCTCCGCTCCACTATAGTTAATAAATATATATATACACCTCTAATGAAATATCAAAAGTAAAAATCAATGTAAGAGAAATTAAAGATGTGGAATTTGTTACAAATTGTTGTTATATATGAAAAGTATTACGTAAATTAGTGTTATATATTATACAAATGCTTGATAATTGTATAAGATTATTCTTCAGTCAATTAACAAATTGAAACCGCCAAACCATGATTTGATTATTTGTCAACCTGCTATTCACTGTTTGGTTTATAATTTTACCCCTACCTCTGACAGCCTACAATGGCCATCACCTCTAAAAACTCTCCCCATCATCACACTACTGTTGCCACACCACCACAACCACTCAACAAACTACAAAAAAATAAATAAATAAATTGCAAAGAAAAAAAAAACACATAACATGAATAAGTATTGTCAAAGTAGATATTTCGTAAATAAATACTAGTGGAGAAACTTGGTTGTGTGATAAGCCATAATATGAATAACAAGTTTTGTTATTTCTGTAAGATTTCTAAATAATAATCTATATTTTCAATTGTATTTGCAATACAAGAGGACATTGGTTTATATAACAATCTAACCCTAGGACTGAAAAGGAAAGTAAAACATTTACTTAGTCTCGTAGAATATATACAAAATATATACTCCCGTATATACATAAACCCTAATATTCTCACACCCCCACTCAAACTCTGTTTTAGCATAAGACACTGAGAGTTTGTCAAGAAGAAACTGAAACGGAGCAGTGGTGTGAGTCTTGGTAAAGAAATTAGCAAGTTGCAGAGTCGAAGTGACAAAAGAAAGTGCGATAGAGCCAGACTGCAGATGCTGAATGACAAAGTAACAATCAAACTTAATGTGCTTCATCTGTTCGTGAAAGACGGTGTTATGGGCAATCTGAATAGCACTTCGGTTGTCACAGTAGAGAGAGGATAGAGGGACACCCAAGTCAGATAAGAGACAACAAAGCTAGACAATTTCAATAGTAGCATGAGCTATAGCACGATACTTAGCTTTGATAGTAGAACGGGCAACAACTATTTGTTTCTTACTTTTCCATGTAGAACAAAGAGGTGGGGTCTACGTTGGAGTGACCAGGGTTGGCTTTCAGGCGCTTGGGAACTTGATTGGTGTAGTGGAGTGACCCAGCCCGCGGTCTGGGAACCGGGAGCAAACCCTAAAAGATAGTATCTCGGAGATAGCGAAGAATCCGAAACAAAGCAGCCCAATGTGTAGAACGAGGAGCAAAAATGAACTCGCTAACCACATGAACAGCATAAGCAAAATCAGGACGAGTGACAGTCAGGTAAACCAAGCAACCCACAAGCTCTCGATATAAAGTAGTATTATCTAGATGGTCACCATCAGTAGTGTTAAGTTTCACATTAAGCTTAATGGGGGTATCAAAAAGCTTGAGAGAAAATGATAAAGAGTACTAAGTCCATATGCCAAAAGACAACACAACCATCATAGCCAATGCGCCAGCATCATATGCCTTTGTGTGAATAGCCATCACCGCCAATGTGACAGCCGCAGCCGTAGCCGCAGCCGCCGTAGCCGTAGCTGCAGCCACAGCAGCAGATGCATCCCAAACAGTTTAGCCAGCACAAACATGTGCAAGTATGTTGCACACATCCGCACAATTTATTCAAGCATGTGTAGGTACAGCTGTAATAGTGAAGGTGGTTAGATGAACAACTGGATCAGAGTAAGTTGGAGTTAGTTACGTACACTTGACCATCAACTAGTAAAATAGCTGTAACTGTTTAACAATTGATTCATTCAATAAGATTTCTATTTCTTGTTATGGTATCAGAGCCACTATAAGTTCTCACGAGTGAAGGTCCAACAATGGTGATTTCATCATCTTCATCTTCGTCTTCTTCTTTGCCTCACAATCTAAGTCTTGACTTTTGTCAAATTTTAATTCTCTCATAACAGTTAAGCTTGACTTCACAAATTTCCTTATCTGGAAGCTCCAACTTTAAAATGTGCTTCGTGTTACTGATCTCGTTGGATTTGTGACTAGATTGATTCCATTTCCAACACCAGAGATGCTTGATTCCACAGGAAATGCAGTGCCAAATACAGAATTTGCAAAATGAAAGACCATAGACACACATCTTTTGAGCTTTTTCACATTGACTCTTTCTTCTCCTATTCTCTTCAGTTCTTCATCTTCGATACTGTTCTCAAGTCTGGATTGCTCTAGGGAAGAGATTTACCACTCTATCTCTTGATTTCACATACATAAACTAAAGAACAAACTGCAAACAGTTTCAAAGAAAGGATTATCAATGTAGGAGTATCTAACTCAAATCAAAGAAGTCTCAAATCAACTGAGTCTTATGTCTGCAGCTGTTGATGATGAGGATCTAGCGTTCCTCATTTTCAATGGCTTACCAGGCGAGTATAACACTTTTAAAACTATGATTCATACTAGAGTTGACACCATCTTTACGGAAAAATTGAGTGCACTTTTGTGCTCTGAAGCTATCCATAGGGAGAACAAAACTAAGCTTGCTCTTAGTAAGGAACCTACAATCGCTTACACTGCAACCAAAGGATCTGAGTCTGGTTCTTTGTCTTATTAGCACTATTCCACACATAGAGGTCAATCCTCCAATTATTATGGTGGCAGAGGAGGTAGATACAATAGAGGTTT